CCGCGACCCCCCCCGCGCCGCCCCGCCCTCGGCGCGCAGGATCAGCTCCGGCTTCCTGCGCGGCTCCGAGTCGTCGGGCAGGACGCGGAAGCGCAGCAGCGTGAGCGCCAGGACCACCTTCATCTCGGTCATGGCGAACGTCTGCCCGATGCAGTTCCTGCGGGGGGTGGGGGGGACTCTGATTGCGCCCAGGACCCCCGCCCGGCCCCGTGGTGCCCGGAACCGACCTGGGACCCCCGTCCCACCCGATCATCCTAACGGGAAGAGAGGGGGCCCCCATGTGGGCTTGCACGTCCCGGAGCCTGGCCCAGCCGACGGGGTGGGGGCTCTGAGCACACCCCTTTTCCTGGGACCTTGTTCAAACCTCTGACCCCCTAAAACACGCTGCCCAACAGCCAAATATGGGGGTCGGGGTTCCGGAACCGACCTGGGACCCCCGTCCCACCCGATCATCCTAACGGGAAGAGAGGGGGCCCCCATGTGGGCTTGCACGTCCCGGAGCCTGGCCCAGCCGACGGGGTGGGGGCTCTGAGCACACCCCTTTTCCTGGGACCTTGTTCAAACCTCTGACCCCCTAAAACACGCTGCCCAACAGCCAAATATGGGGGTCGGGGTTCCAACCAGCTGCCTCGTGTACCCACACCCCCTCCACCCCACCTCCCTAAGACACCCGCCAGCCTCACCTGGGCCCCGCGGAGAAGGGAATAAAAGCCAGCGGTGACCTCTTCTGGGGGTTTTCTGGGTCAAAGCGGGAGGGGTCATAGACCTGGGACCAGCAAGAGGGGGCGGCTGGGTGGGGTCTCCCAGGACGGCCAACTGCCCCCACCCACGGACATGGGTGCAGTGGATGCAGTGGACGGGGACGGGCTGGGATCCCAGGTCCCGACCCTGCCGCCTCCCTAGAACCCAGGATGGAGCAGGGGGACGGCACCTCGGGGTCTGGCCAGACTGATGGGTTGTGGTGAACCCCGAAAATACTGATGGTGCAGACGTTCCCTGTGGGAGAGGAGGGGACAGTGAGGACAGGGCCTGGCAGCCTAGGGGACCACCACCCTGTCCCTCCCCCTATGTCACGGGCACCTTTGGGGATGACCCGGCCATCTGGGAACACAACGTCCTGGGTACAGCAGCGGGAGACGACGGTGACCGGGGGGTGCAGCCGCAGACTCTCCTTGATACACATGGTCAGGAAGGGCAGCTGGGCCAGGTCGTCCCTGAGGGAACCCCCACCCCAGCTGTTATCCAGGGAGCAAAAACAGTGTTCCCAGCCTGAGGGGGTGATTTGTCACTCTCTCTCTGTCTGTCTCTGTCGCTTTCCAGCAGACACACCCATCCTATGGCAGAAATAGGAAAAAAA